CATGACGCCCACCGAAATGGGCACCAAGGCCAACGAGGCCGAGGACACCATCTTGGGCGAATCCGCTTATGAGTTTATCAACACCGACGACGAGAGCCATGATGGCCCGGACGGCCCTGCCGAGTCTCTCGACTCGTATGAATACACACAGACCGATGACGTTCACAGTTTGGCTGGCACGGAACAGTCGAGCGAGGGCCTCGATACCGACTCGGAGAGCGATGGCGAGGAGCAAGAGCAAGACAAGGAACGACACCAACACGATGAGGAGGCGGAGAAGAAATCACACGCATATGTGGAGGAGAGTCTCAGCAGCCCCTCATCTTCCTGCGATATGACTGCCGACGACGAGTTTCGCCACTATTCCAACATCGGGAGGCAGATCAACTTTGCAGAGACCGACGCCGGTGCCGATAAAGCCGCCAACATCGAGGTCATGCACACCATTCGGGAGTTGACCATCGGCGAGGCCGCCACTGTCGCCAAGAACATGCACCTCCCCAAGATCCCCGAGCGCCTAACACTCAGCATCCGACAGACCATGGATCACGACTGCTTGGCCATGTCAGCACAAAGGCCCCTTCATGTGCTGTATGTCGGCAACACGAGCCCGCGCCACCGCATTTTGCGTCGCATCTCCACTGCCCTCAACGCGCACAGCCCAAGCCTCATCCGTCCCGTCGGCGGCGGCGAAGGCATCTATAACGTAGTGCCCAACACAATGCCTGGCAACCTCTCGACGCCCTATGAGGATTTTGTGAAAATGTTCCCCACAAACATAAAGGTTGAAACGTGCACGCATGCAGAAGAGACGGTCTACGTCTCCGACTCGCTACCCGGCGAGACTATTTTCACCATGGCCCTTGAGGATGGCACGACGTACAATTCGGCCCACCCCGCCAACAGCGGCCCCATCGTTGAGCCCACTTACGACCTGCCCCACATCGCCGTCTTCTACATCACGGATCAGGCTGGTGAGGCTACCCTCCGAACGCGCGATGCCGCTTGGGGGTTCATGAACCGCCATGGTGTCCCGTGCATCTTCATCTCCAGCGCACCGGGCTTCGACGAGTCCGCCGTCAGCTGGTCGAAGTATGTTGACCCGTCGGCTATACATCTCCGTCTCGAGTCTTCGAACTCTGCCAATCCAGCGATGCCAATGCCGATCGACCTGGCTTCATTCCTCACCATCGATCCGCGTCAGATGAATCGAAATCTTGCCCACCTCACTGGCCTAGCGGAACGGTCCAAAATCCAAAAGGGCCTCTACAGCCGTGTGGTAATGACTGGCAAGAAGGTGATCAAGGCTTCGATCGCCGCCGACTCGCAGGCCGCGAGTATCCTGCAGAAAATCCTAAGCGCCATCTTCGTGCTTGGTCTGGTGTATGGTCTCGACAGCTATCTCTACCGGAATCATTCAGATAGCCCCGCGCCGTACGTGAGCTTGCCCAAAACCACGATTGCCGACCTCACGACCTTGGTTCCTGATTCTACATCTGAAACTACGAGCGTCATCAATCTCACGTCGTCAAGCACAGCTGTTGACATTCCACGCATTGTCGCTACACCCGGGAATGTTGCTCTGATGCCATTTTCCAACCTGTTCCCCGACATACTTCCCGACGCTGGTAAGGGGAATATTGTCTGCACGGCCGAACTTTATGGCCAGCACGAGATCCTGATTAAAATACCTGTCGGCACAAAGACCACCTGGCTCAACAAGGATTCCATTACGATTGACGTCCTTCGTGATGGCCAGATAGTCAAGACCAAGTTTTCTTCCGTCGACGAAGGTCTTGTGCTCGATATTCCCAAGCGTGATGCCTATGGTGTTGTAGCGGTCACCGTCGTCACAAATCGCAGGCCGAAGATCAACGAGACACTCGAGGTGGATTTTGGTAGGGGAATCCTCACAGAAGCACTCCACGGCGGCAAGCGTTTGCTGTTTGACCTAGCCAGCACAGCCTCGGAGGCAACGAGCAGCCTGAGAGAGCAGGCCCTCGTCAAGGCTCAGGAAGTCTCGGACTACGGAACAGGGGCCTCGGACAGCCTCAAGTATACCGTTGTCCAAAAGTGGCACGAGATTCAGTTCGACTTGACGGAACGGCTGCACAGGACGGCAGACTTTTCCGACAAGCTTGATCTTTCTGTTGTCACTGCTCAGATTCAGTCGCGCCTTTGGTGGCTCCGCATTCAAGGCAAGATGGAAGAGCACGCCGAGTACGAGAAGAAGGCGAGAGTATTCCTCGCCAGAAGACGTGGCGAGATCCAGAAGGCTGGTCAGTCACGCCGGAAGACACATCGCGATGTTTCCGCGTGCCAACCAGGCAGCTCCCGGTGGTCAAAAAAGTGCTGTGACTGACACGACTTTCGATGAGGGTCGACATGATTACACGAATTAGGGCCGCTGGGCGAAGTAGCTGATTAGGGTTTTCGACATGGCGTTTACGTGTTTCGGTTTTGCAATATGGGAGGTTTTACTGTCACTCCATACAAACCACTTTACTGTGTGTCGAAAGGCTCATCTCGAGCCGCCTTTCTCTTCTCTCATACCCACCCCTCCTCTGTCGATGCAGGGGACCCAGAGCTTGAAAGTGGACTTTGAAGGCAAGATTATGCATGCCTGCCCTGGCGTACCCATGGAAAGGAACTCATTCACGGCTGGCGTCTTTCCTCGAGTTTTGCCTAGCTTCTGGGCCGCGAGACGAAAGTCTGGGTTCGTTGGAATTTAATAAAAGCAATGAAATGTAATCCGTTGGTTGAATCGCGTGATTGCCATTGACCGACTGCTCACAAGACTCACTAAGGGGGATCAGGGTGGCAAACTGGAGGGCAGGGCAGGTCCGTCGGCGACCCCACGATAGCTGCCGTTAGTAGGGAAAACAAGTCGCGGCCCCGCGTGGGTGAGAGCGTGGGTAGGTAGGTACCTCGCTCGAAAGGTGTGTCACTCGAACCCGGGTCAGTGTAATTGGGACAGTGCGCTGAACGCAAGGCCCCACTTAATCGCAGGTTGTGAATGAGGGGCTCGATCGCTGCCTCATTTTGGCTCGCCCACTTCGACCTGACATCCATTTGAAAAACATTGCAGCGATTACCTCCATCACGTTTGCGGAAGCTATCTGAGACCCTTACGAATCACCTTTACCACAGTAAGTTTCGATTGTACAGATACTACCCATGCTGCAAGCTCCTCCTTATTTACGTCGATACACGTTCTGCCCCCCCACCATCAGACATTTTGGGGTGAAAAGGAGGGGCACTGCGCCTAAATCTGGCGGTGATGGCTACCGAGTCCGGAGACTGACGAGATTCGTTCGCGCTGCAGGACCACAAGCACCCCGAACGTACAAATCCCCCCCTCCCGACCGAACATCATGTCTGCGCCCGAAGCAACCGAGCCCAAGGTCGAGGAGCCTAAGATCGAGGCGCCCAAGGCCGAGGAGGCCCCCGCCACTGGCACCGCCGATGCGCCCGCCACCGAGTCCACCGGCGAGGCCGACAAGCCCGTGACGGCCCAGTCTTCCGTCTTCAGCATGTTTGGAGGAGGCGCTAAGAAGGAGAAGAAACCCGAGGACGAGGACCGCGGCGACAACTCTGGCAGCAACAAGGCTCAGCGCGAGGCCGCTGCCGCCGCCGCTGATGACGATCAGGCCCCCGAGTCGGAGGATGTCCACTTTGAGCCCGTCCACAAGCTGACGGAGAAGGTCGAGACTGCCACCAACGAGGAGTCTGAGCAACAGCTCTTCAAGATGCGCGCCAAGCTGTTCAAGTTCATCAAGGAGTCCAGCGAGTGGAAGGAGCGCGGCACTGGCGACGTCCGTCTGCTGAAGCACAAGGAGAATGGCAAGACCCGTCTCGTCATGCGCCGCGACAAGACCCTCAAGGTCTGCGCCAACCACTACAGTGCGTCGAGTCGAGCTCCCACCTTGCTGTGTTGCTTATGCTAACGATACGATAGTCGTCCCCGAGATGAAGCTCTCCCCCAACGTCGGCTCTGACCGCAGCTGGGTCTGGAACGCTGCCGCCGATGTCAGCGAGGGCGAGCCCGAGGCTGCTACTCTTGCCATCCGCTTTGCCAACTCCGAGAGTATGTGGCCGTGCTCTTCTCTTACCTTGGAAGCAACTCACTAATAGTCACAGACGCCAACCTCTTCAAGGACGCCTTCCTCCAGGCGCAGAAGGACAACGAGGCGCTCTTCAAGAAGGCCGAGGATGGCGAGGCCTCCACCGAGACCCCCGCCGCAGAGCAGTCGTAAACCCTCGTACTCTTCTAAGATGGTCCTTGAAGGACGAGGCCCCTGAGTCCCAGAATCAACATTCCCCTGACACCCTCCCATCACGCACACACACATACACACACTCACACATCACACGTACCGTTGCGAGTCGACACAATCGCTGATGCTTTTACCCTGACAATCGCTGATGCCAAAATGACTCCCATGGGGTGCCAATGAGCTCTGCGAGATGCGCACACAACTGATCATGGTGAGGCTCTCTGGATGTCGTGGGGCAGAACCCTGTCCTACCAGCCGGACCTGCCGCCCACCAGGCAGTGTAGATAGATTCCCACCCCCAATGACACCATTCCCCATGAACATTGAATCAATAAAAAGAAGACAAAAAAGCTAGTGCGCACGCTGAGGTGCAAGTATTGTGAAATTGATGCGTTGACTTGTGTATTTGGCGTAAAAAATGGTGAGGGGGGTGTGGCGGTTGGTATGTCATGGGGGTGTGGCGATAGTGGCGCAGTTTTGGCTTCAGCCTTCCCTCCTCCAACGTCACCACGCAACCTGTCCAGCCAACTTCTCCCTCTCGACGACACGATTATCCCACCGCATCACCCACGCCCTCCATATCACGAAAGCGAACACGATCTACGACGCCACGACGAGACAAGACTTTGTGGCTAGACCACCCAATAACTCACACAAGAACGCGCTTTCCGAGGGAAGGTCACAACGCGGCCAACATGATTGTAGAGGTAAGCGCCCATCGCGCCGCGACAGCGGCCGACCTTTCCACGGTGCTCTCACCTCCTGCCGCTGCATGCGATACACTCTACAAACCAAGACGAAACCCTGGAAAGTGAAGCACAGCCGTGTCGGCCCAATTGAGATGGATCGACATCTTCTGCAAAGCGCTATCGCACAGGGCGGGAGCTTATCCTTGGAGCCGCTTCACTGGAGCGAACACGCCCAGGAGACTGCTATCCTCAATCATGTCCTCTCAATCAATTGAACCTCAATCTCTGCGTTCCCGTTCCCTCCGAGTCCCAGTCGCCCCATCCCACACCAGCGCGCGACGCGCAAAGCCACCCGCTTCATGGTTGAGCCCGAGAGTGCTAAGTCTTGTCGTGTCGCAGCGCAAAATCCGCCTCGTGACGGACCAAAATGTCATGTAAGTCTCTTCACCGAGGTAGAGTGCTGCCAGGGAACACAACTGACGCGACCACGACACAGGCCCGACAAACCGGCGCAGGTCGAGGGCTTTCCCATGAGGAAATGGTCCGTCTCCATCTTCGTCTTGGACGAGGCAGGCGAGGAACACACGGCCGATTGCTTCCAGAAGGTTGTGTATAACCTTCACCCTTCCTTTGAGAATCCAACGCAAAGTATGTCTAGTTGTGGCGACTGCCGGCATACCATATTGTGCTAATCGGCAACAAGCCTTCCCCAAACCCCCCTTCACCTGCGAAAACGAAGGCTGGGGAGAATTTGAGATGGTCATTGATTGCTATACGACGGAGAAGTCCAAGCAGTCCATCCCGCACGACCTCAACTTCCAATCCAACCACTACGTCTCTGAGCACACAGTCTCTTTCAAGAATCCAAGCCAGGCGCTCCAGCAGATTCTCCGCGAGACAGGACCTCTACCCAACGACGAGGACCGCGCCAAGCGCAAGGGCGCCGCTGGTGCCGCCGGCCCCAAGAAGGCCAGCCAAAAGTACGACTATGAGAAGATTGCTGATGGCCTCGGACGCCTCGAGGAGGATGACCTGCTGCGCGTGATCCAGATCATTAACGATAACCGGACCGAGGGCATGTTCATCAAGAGTGACGTGGACGGTGAGTGGCCTGGTCTCTCGTGCCTCACAGGCAGCGCTGACGGATTCCAGCCGGCGAGTTCTCGATCGACCTGTATTCCATGCCCGAGACGCTTACGAAGCTTCTCTGGGACCACCTGGTTCGTCTGCCTAGCACGGCGGTCTCGCGTGCATGCTTCAATCCCGCTAACCATTTATTAAAGAACAAGAAGGGTCTCATCAGTTAGTCGGAGGATCGCATCCGTACAGGAGGAGGGAGTCTACGTCGTTCGCGAGCCAAGGCGTCTGGATCATGAGGGCGGGGCGGGGGTATCTCATTCATAATGATGGTCATTCTCCGGGCACTGGCACAGTGGGAGGGGGAGAAACGATCGCACCCGGCTTCGACAGGACACGCCAGCGCGCCCTGTGGCAGAGCTTGTTGTAGAGAGCACGTCGGAAAATCGAAAGGATATCGTTTCTCAAAATGGCGTCACGTGGGGGCAGCAGACGTTCAGGCGGGAACATGACGGAGCAGATTGCGGAATCGAACATTGGAACCATGCTGATTGATGCCTTCATCTAACTGTTCATATCCCTGGCGCTAGTGGCCGACCTGTCCCGGTCCATCCTCGCTTTTCATAACCGTGAGAGCTTTTACGAAATCATACCTAACGCCACCCCAAGTCCTGTAGTACGCCACGCCACGCCACGCCGGGAAGAAGGCCTCGACGAAATACACGTGATACCCATCTGCTCATGCACCATAGTTTGCCCCGTCCATGACCGGGAATTGCGGATCCATGGCCATATACTCCAGTAGGTCGACCCCGCCAACGTTCAACCCCTCGGACGTCATGGCCACGCCGTTCTCCATGTTCTGGAAGAAGGCCGCACCTGGCGGCAGGTACCACATCTCATTGCCCGGGTTCCCCCATTCGGACGAATCAAACATGTCCACCGTTGGGTGATCGATGGGGGGTGCCGGTGTCGAGGGGTTGAGACCCGAGGCTGAACCCGAAGGGTATGGAAAGTTCCCGGCGCTAACGTCAAAGGGCGTCGCCGAGATATTGGCCGCGATGTCATCTGCAAGAAGCGGTCAGCAACAAGCGACAGCCTCCCGGCAAAGGAAAAAAACATACCTGGTGCACTGAGTCCATCACGGAGCCTGTTGGCGTGGGAAGACCAGTTTTGGCCCTCGCCGTTGGCCCCATGCCCGTGAACGCCATGAGCAGTGGGTTCCGGGCTGCGGCCGTCGCCCCCGGAGTGCCCGAGAGTAGGGGCCTGGATGAATCGGGTGCGCAGCCTGCTGGTGAGAGACTCGAGCAGATCCGCAAAACGTATGCCGAGATGAACATCGTCGACGACGCAATTTCGTAGTGCCTCGACCGTCGAGTCCATCAAATCAATACTCATCTTGACGTCGGAACGCGGGGCGCCCAGCGCAAACGTCTTCAGCAAAAACATGGCTCCGCTGATGATGCGGAAATACGTCCGAACGGGCGCATGCTTCAGGTAGTCACCAGGTAGCAGGCCCTCGACCACAGTCCTCAGGAGGTTGCGACACCCACTGATGACTTCCCTGATGCACTCTTGGTCGGTTGCACCAAAGCCGCCAAGCTGACCGAGAGGCAGCTTTCCAAAATAGTTTTGCGTCTGGGGCGACAGCTGAGCTGCGCCAGCAAAGGACCCGCCTTGGGCCGCGTGCACAGTGTTTCCTGCATGGCTCGCCGATCGCTCAACGACAGCTTGCAGCGACAATGAGTTGACGTAGATACGCACATACTCGTACTCGATCGTCAGGACGTGGCGGATGAAGGGCGGCAAGCGGAAGCGCTCAAACTCCTTGTACCAGTCCGCCAGCAGAGGCCTGAACTCCTGCAGAAGCTCTGTATACTTGCCACTCTGAATGATGTCGGTTGTGTGCCTCCGGTTGCGAAAAAGCTTTTCGTTGCCAAGAAACATGAGATTGCTGATGCCAGCCCAGCAGTGAATCATCTGGTCGTCGAGCTCCAGGTCGGGAATGTAGTTGAACGCGTTGGAGAAAGACGACGGGTTCGTGCCGGGTGTCGTGCCACCCTCGACAGAGCCGCCAGGCCGCTTGCGGGAGACGGCTGGGTCGCTCTTGCGCAACGCCTCGGGCACCATGTTTGTCCAGCCAAGTCGACCGGCAAGCTGGGAGAGGTAGATGAGCAGCAGCCTCTTGATACGGTTCGCACGCTGGCGGTACGATTCCTCCTCATACTCGGGACGCGAAATGGCGCCACTGCGTAACATCTCCTCGATATCGTCAAAGACACCCAGCTCGTAGGCGAGGCCGTTGGCCGTGCTGAGCAGCATCCAGCACATACGGTCACTTCTCCACGCCGGCTCGAGCCAACTCTCGATGCGCCGGCCGCCAATGCCGGCAGAGGGGCGTTGATTACCGTTCTCGTCTGTGCTGATGAGGTCGCCGCCTTCGTAGGACGGCAGCATCAGTTCGTCGATAGCCTCGTCCGGGGGAAAGTGCAGAGCACGAGGATGCCACTCTGTCAGGATCATGAGCGATTCGATGGTTCCCAGGGTGCGCAGGCTGCCTTTTCTCATGCCGCGCCAAGGCGCCGTGCTGCTGGTTTGGTCCTCCCCTCCAATTGCAGCAGCAACGCCGGGGGCACTAGCGCCGGTAGTCATGCTCACAAACCCGCCACCAAAGGCCTCCTGGCCCCACAGACAGCGCTCAATCATGCCGCGCAGGTAGTTCCATAGCTGCTCGTGGATGGCGTGCGAACGGCAGTGGCCTCCGGTGCCAGGGATCTTTCGGTAGCGTGACGAGATGGTCAGCAGCGTGACTGTAAGGATGGGCTCTTCGGTGAGAAGAGTTAAGTGGGAGGCAGGGTTGCGAAAGGTGGGTGGGGATATGGGCGTCAGCGGCGACAGGTACTCGTAGTAGTAGTCGATGTATTCAATGGCCTCTTGTGCGGTGAACCAGCCAGCTCTGACGAACCTGAACCTCTGCCAGGCCTTGACGGCGCTGGCATAACCAGGTTCGGCGGAAAGATCGCGAGGCCGCGCGAGATTGGGGTCTATTGGCTGCTGTTCTTGCTTGACGGAGAATGTCGGTCGGCGGCCAGGCGGTGTCGGTCTTCCAACTACATTGGGGTTGACAAGGGGTAGCGGTTGTTGGATGGATGTAAGCGACGCCGTGCTCTCGTGACGTTTGTGGGCCGGCAGTGAGCTGCCCCGGTTGTTAGTAGACGCACAAGCACGCACAAGAGGCGTCCCGTGTCGGGGAGGTGCGGTACTTACTTGTCTGTAGCCGCTTTATAGAGCAGGTCTAGAGCATCATGCGGGCCATAAACACCGGTGCGCAGCACGTCCTGGGCCTCTCTATTCTCCATATGGGCATTCGACTCCTCCTCCGCGGCATATTCGCCGACGCGCCTGCTGCCAGACTGACTGACAGTCGTGCTGGGAGTCGCAGCGAGGCGGGAACCATCGGGACGCGACAACGGCCTTTCCCTGCCGAGGCTGCCTCCGGGGGTCAGGGGCACATCGTTATAGACGGAGCGGTCAACGGGAACATGCTGGCTATCGTTGGTGTTTAGTCGCTTTCGGCCATTGCGCATAATGTAATCGTCGGCGTCAATGTCGTCGTTGATGTCAATGCCATCCTCGGTCTTGCGCTTGCGTCTCGTGGCGCTGAAAAAACACTCCTTGCTCTCACGGCGACAACGCACACAGGGCGGTTCGTGGGGATTATCGACGCTGCCGAGGTCGCACCGCACCTTGCGCCGGCGGCAGGGGATGCAAGCCTGATAGACGCGCTTATGCTGGGCAGCCTGGGTGCTGCCAGGCGCGGCTGCTCCGCTGGCTGCGCTGGCACCGGCGGCGGCGGCGGTAGAGGAGCTCCCGCCGGGCAGCGACGGGCCGGATGAGGAGGCCGGGCTCGTCGCATTGGGTGCCTGGGCGCCATAGGTGGCCATGATGACGGCGGGTACCGGTCAATCAATGGGGCCGGCGACAAGCAAGGGCGACCAGAAGAGACAGGGCGTACGAGGCTCCGGATTCGTGGGATGGAGTCGGAATGGCTGCAGTGATGGTAGGGTCGAGTCGAGTCGCGAGTCGCGAGAGTCGGGGGAGATCGGTTTGCAGCGGGTTTAAGGAGGGGTTGGGTCGGTCTGGGGCGGGAGACGATGGGCTTTTTGTTGTAGCGAAGGGCCCCAGAGAGCGTGACCCGAGCGCCGGGCAGTGGTTTTTGTCGGTCTGATGCGGGGTCGCACTGTTCCTGTCGTACTGTCGCGTGTGATTCGTGTGGTTCGCCCCAATGGCTATGGCGCGTTCCCGTTGTCTTGATGAACGAGGGCCCTTCCCCAATCGAAGGATGCCGTGGTCGTTTAGGAGTCAACCAGCCAGCCGTGTTCTCGCTGAGAGATTGTGGTCCAAGGCAAGGCAAGTCGCTGAGAAGCAAGAGCTAAAAGGACAGCAGGGTGTCTGTTTTCTCTTCTCGTGTCGGCCGCTTGCCTCCAATGGCAGCAGCCTTTGCAACCACGGACAGTGGTTCTTGCTCTGCGCCTTCCTTCTCAAAGCCAAGCACGATGCACTTGCATGACACCTGCCGTTACGGGATGCAGTGTTAGGTAATCGGCATTCCACCTTCCAACCAACATCCCCGCGTATCCAATCACGAGGACTACGGGCCCGACGTCTGCTCGACCCCAGGAAGGAGAGGAGGGCTGAGAGCTCGCACGTTCCATTCGTTCCGGACAAGCCTGGTCACGAGGACCCTCATTTCCCCAGGTCAGGTTCGCTGAGCCTCAACAGCAACAATCAGCTCGCAAGGGCCAAATGTTGACGCAGGAACATCCTCGAGGCCTCGTGACAGGTCACATGACGGCCAGAACAGCACAATGTTTTGTCTGATCACCTGCAACAAAATACATGCCTTCCATGTCTTGTTCGTCAGCGGCAGACAGCCCCACTGGTCACTCATGTCACATTGATGTCTGGCGCCCTGAGCTTGTATGCATAAAAACGAACCCTGGGCCGTATTCGTCATCGCGTCATAGGGTGAAAGTTGTACACGCAACGAGCGCAAGCAATCCTTTAAACTCTGTCCTGCCTCTGCACGCAGATCCACCCTCGGCCCAGACACCGCCAGCCCCCTTTATATGTCCCATTGCCTCTTCGCTGGAATAGCAGGATTGCCACACGTGAACCGGTCCTGCTGCCCTGTTGATCACCCGCACCAAAAATGGGCCAGAATAGGTCTACGTGCTACCCTTGAATTCCTCCTTGACCGCGTTTGCGGTGTTTGGTGCATTCTCTGCCGACGTGCTCACCTCGGGAGAGGTCTCCTCCGGGCCAGCAGCGTCAGCAGGACCTGGCTCCTCCTCCACCGTTCCGTCGAGTGTCGTGGGTTTGAAGTCATCCGGTGCCGAGCCAGGATCCTGTCCGCGTCCGCTGTTGCTGGCCGAAACGCCAACGGCAGGCACGTCGCCGTCGAGAATCTTTTGCTTCGTGTCCCGCACAATCTTGTCAGCCTCGCTGGACTTGCCGCTGCGGGTCGCGAGCTCAACGCCGATGGCATTGTCCTTGTCGTTCTGGCTCTCAAGGAGCGCCGCCTTGTCAAACCGCACCACCATACAAGACAGGTTGTCCGTGCTGAATCTGTTGAGGGCGTGGTCTACGAGGTTCTTTGCTGCCGTGCTGGCATCCTCCACGCTGCGGACGAGGTCCACCGCCTCTTGGTCGGAGCAGACGTCCCAGAGCTGTGCTCATTAGTCAATCATCTCAAAAGGCATTCTAGAAACCACTTACGCCGTCGCAGGCGATAATAATAAACTCATCACTCTCTGGGTGAATGACCGTCTCCGTCGTGTACGGATGGCCGGTTACGAGATCTTTCATATAGGTATCGCCGAGCGCTCTCGTCACAGCCAGGACGCCGTTGACTCTGTTGTTGAGAATCAGGCCGCCGGCCTTGGAGATGCGAACGCCCTCGTTGTCATCACTGCCCTTGTGATCGTACGAAAGGCGCAGCGCCTTGCCGGATCGGCAGAGAATGATGCGAGCATCACCCACGTTAGCCGTGTACAGGACGCGCTGGCGGAAAGCGGCACCCTTGAGCTTGGCGTGTGTCGCCTCGGCTGCAGCGTCCGTCTTGTTGTCGGTGGCCGCGTCCTCGGAACTCTTGGCCTTGCTCGCAGCGACCGTGGCGGGAGCAATGGCCTGAGATCCAGTGGCAGACCGCTCACTCGGGACCCGATCCTCCCAGCGCAGGACTGCAACGGCAGCCGTGCACCCGCTGTTCTTAAGCGGCAGCTTTTCAAGCTGTGCGTCGACTGTCGTGAAGGTCTGGTCGAGGAGTTCGGGGATGGGCATGTTTGGATTTCTCCGGATAATGTCCTCCAGAAGGATGTGGAGTTTCTTGCCGCACCAATCAGCTGCAAAGGTGCCGGCATGACCATCAAAAATGGCAAAGTAGCCATTATCCGTCTCGACCACCTCGTGATGCGCGGGCTTGTCATCCACCTTGAGCTCGCTGATCTTGGTGTCGAGGGCTGGAGCGGCGTCTGCAAGAAGTTGTAGAGAAACGCGTGTGTGTCCTCCATGGTCCGACGGCATTTTCTGTTCCTATCTTCCCAACGCCGACACGAAATGTCGATCGGGGACAGGGTGGAGATTCGCCGCCGAGTGTGTGAGGCCTTGAGCACCGCCGAGGGCGGGGTCCTGCTTGCGAGCTCTGCAAAGGACTCTGAGTGGGAGCGTCAGAATGACTGCTGCCAAAGTTCAGAGTCTGCTTGGCCGATGCCAGAAGACTACTAGCCTTGCTTTGGACGCCGCTGGCACGACGCTTCTTGTCCGCCGACCCGCCAGTGTCTTGTCTGCCAGGTGGGCTGCCATTGCCGCTCCTCTTATCGCCGCTGGCGGCTTGATCGGCAACCTTGACCGGGCCAGCGTCGGGCGAGGGGGCCTTGCCACTGCCGTCGACTTGACCATCGATGTCTTTGGTTTCCTTCGAGGCCGCCGGACTTGAGCTGCCGCCGAACATTCTGCTCAGCAGACCAGCTCCCTGGTTGGAGAGGCTGCGGCGCTTGTTGCCTGCCAGCTTTGTGGTTCGAAAGGAGGACAGAGCGAGATCGTTCGGGGCGAGGGCGCTGCGCTCACGGGCTTGTGTGTTTGTGTCGGATGCGGGGTTGCGTTGGTGTCCAGGTGAGATGGATGAGGAGCGTGGCCGACCGGCAAGAAGGGGGGGTTTCACGCGGGTCTTTCGGTAAGCGTCCGAATAGGATGTCGGGGCCCCGACCGTCTGCCCTGATTTCCCGTCGTGTCGTGTGAGTGGGAAAAGTGTCTGAAGCAGTCTGATCAGTAAGAGAGCACCTTCAAGGTTGGCAGCCAACCGATGTGATATAGGACCAGTGCACCCCGTTTGTGGTTTATATCTGATGTTGGAGTAGAGAGCCAGGGATGAGGGGGATGTACTGTGGTGTGTAGTGGAGTGGCAGTGAAGCAATACTAGCGTTGGGTGGGGTAGGGAGGGTTGAACGTAGCAGATGGAAGGTGTGTTCCACCGGAGAGGTTCTGGACCACGTTGTCGGAGGATGTTATGAATATGTGGTTGAAAGTCGTAACAAGATGATTGAGACTGGTATATGTTTGGATAACAGCGTGATGGTACAGGCGACGAAGAAGAAGACCAAGTGTGTCGCCTGGAACATGGAAGACGGCCACAGGTGACGTAGGCAGCTATTGCACTGGTAACCGAGTGCCAGGTACAAGGCAGGCATGGCTAATCGAGCAAGCTAAGCTCACACGACTGTGCAAGGGAGGCGCTTACCGCAACGAGCTTGGGCCACAAGGTGGCGAACGCAACCATTCAACTTTGGGTCTCACCAAGAATGCAAGCAACGAATGCAGCGATGGATGATACTGGGGGCTTGAGTTGCTTGCTGACGAAATACAAACGTGGCAAGATCGCAGTCATATGAGAGACGCTGCTGGACGGCGGGAGCAAGCAGATGGACGTCAGAATCAGGGTCATTCCGAATGCTGCCAGATTGCGACCCCCGGTGGTACGCGCTGACTCCAAAACGCCTAGCGCGGGGGTGGTTTGGTGGGTGAGGACGCCTCCACCTGTGCCTCTTCTCGAAAGCTTGGCCAACGCAAGGTTGCATTGTACCTCTGGAAAGTTTTCAGCACAGCATATGGGCCCTCAACTCGGAGCTTAAGGCGCAATTCAGGCGTTATCCTCGGCCTTCTGTCCCTGTCCGAAATACGTGACCACGTCCCAGCCCTGTGGAGTCTCCTGCTCCCCCGCGACACCCCTCAAGATTTTTCAGGCAACGCTGATGCAAGGTTCACATCATGGGTCCCGTCCAGCGGTAGAACTGGCGACTCAAGACGCTGCACGGTATCACTGAAGACTGCGCCACCACTATTCTGGAAGCGATCTGAACTATTCCCGACGATGAGAGGCAAAGAGACAACTGAATATCAGTTCGTTCGGCGCAAGCACAACAGGCAAATCGCCAGCTGAAATGCAACCTGGCACAATCCTCGTACTCCAAAACACCGCCCGCAAGTTCATGACTACCGTTCACTCTCTGCTGGCTAGCTCCACCAATGCATAGAGAGTCCTCACCGCCTGAGACTGTCAAGTCGTGCCTGTAGATCATCGTCCGCCCCGCCTCCACCCATGCCGCCTTCGCCGCCAATGGCTTGCGCAACTCGTTGTTCCGGTACTGCGCTTGACTGCACGCCCGTGGGGGTCTCGCCGAGCTACCACACCGGTCAGTTTCGTAGTAAGGCTTCATTCGATCAAGTTGACGTACCGCGGAGTTGAGATCAATGCCAATCTCCTCCAACACTTGCTCAACCACCTCTTCTCCCTCCTCCTCCTCACCCACATCCATGGCATCATCGATGGCATCGTCCATCATCTCTTGCCTCTGTTCCATGACATCGTTCTCCCGCTCAAATTCCATAGCAATTCGTTGGAGGGCCGGCAAGTTCATCGAACGGTTCATGCTGCCAAGAGCAGTGGTAGCTCCCTTCATCGCCTGCATCATCTGCTCGTTTGTGCGGTAGGTCTAACACGTAGGTTAGCTGACACGCACATGTGAAATTGGCGGGGTAATCATGCCTGTAGGCGGAGAGAGATCTTTTGCAGCTGGCTGCGCATCGAATAGAATTTCTCAATATATCTGAATAATGTTAGCCCATTCCTATCTGGCCTTGATACCGAGAGAACCCACCTTCGCGTACGCACGAGATCCTTGGCCTGAATCTTGCAAGCACCCATTTGTCCCTTTTGCGCACTCTGTTTAATCTGCGTAACCAGCGTCTTCTCCTGCTTCTCCAGTTTGACTCGGATTTGGTCGAGCTCGCGAATCGCCTTGTCGAGCATGCGTTGGTTCTTGCGCAGGCGCTCCGCTGGCGTCATCCGCTTCCCGAACATGTATTCCAGGATCTATGCAGCCCAAGTTAGCATCGAGCCTACTCTGTGCCTTTGAGAGTCTGCGGCGCGGGCAGAGTGTCCTACATTCATTGTGGCAGTAGAGTAAATGGCAACACGAATAGAAAGGTCGAGTATCCACGAGGCGCGGTCGAGATGGGTAGTTGTGTATGCTTGAAGCCTGGCGATGGAGCCAGGAAGTTGGCTCTGGGGGCACTCTACCAATGAACGTGGGGTCGCCAAAGCACGCATCAGCATTCGGCTGGTGATAAGATAAACCTACCTTGGCAACCTGCTTGGACGCTTCCCAGCCCTTCTGTCAGCGTCACCGCAGGACGTTGACCAATCGCGACCGGTATCTATCATATAGTGGGGCAAATTTGCCGCTCTGGACCCAGAATCATGCAATGCCTTTGGGGACTGGGTACCAGACGCAAAACATTCTCGATACATCCTTCAACCTACAAACGCCCCCGACAATGCCGTCTTCAATCGCGCAACTACAACTATGAGCCAGGACTACTTTTCCGGGAAGGGCAAGAGCCCAATGGGCCAAGAGGTCGAAAGCGACGTTGCGGCGACCCCCAGCGCGCCTGAGCCATCCTCGGCATCATCAACCAGCCGACCGCAGTTCATGACCGTTGGCACAGGTTCAACATCTGCTCACGCCGCTCATCTCCAGGCGATGCTTGACCAAGACTCTGGCTACGGCGGCAGTGCCGATGGCGACTACAACACAAGACTTGCCCTCAACCACGCCACGCAACCTGATGTCGACCGCCGCTCGCCAGCCGGCGCCGTCTACCAGCTATGGTACAACGCACATCGCTCGGCGCTCGGTCGCTCGATCAGCAAGGTCGTCGAGCTCCTCAGGGAACTTCAGGAGATGAACGCCCAATGGCCCGCGCACTACCCGACTGTCCAACGAACCGAAGTTGCAGCAACGCCGAGAGGTCCCACGCGGCCTGGCTTCTCTCAGGCCCAGTCGACCATGGGCAACACCCGAAGCTCCGAACCATCTTCGCCCGTTTCGCCGCCGATGCTACGACGATCCATGACCACAGCCGCTGACGCGCACGACGATGCTGAATCCAGCAAGGCCCAGGATAGGAGGAGGACAGCAGACGAGCCACGGCTGGTAACACCGCAAATCGCCCAAGACTTTTCCATCCTAAAGCTCGACCTCAAGCTGGGAGCGCTGCACCAGGCAGAGCTCGTTCACTCGCTTGAAAAGAGCTCCATTGCATCGTTACTGGATGGTCAGATCAGTTCGAGCATCCGACACCTCATGAGTCTGCGCGATCGCATCGAAGATACGTCCAGCAAGGTTCTCGTCACTGGCGACCTGAACGCGGGAAAATCAACCTTTTGCAACGCGCTGTTGCGGAGAAAGATTTTGCCCGAGGACCAGCAGCCATGCACATCCATCTTTTGTGAAGTTTTGGACGCTAGGGAGAACGGAGGAATGGAAGAAGTACACGCCGTGCACAAAGACGCAACATACGATCGACACGATGAATCTACGTATGACGTCTTCAAGCTGGCCGCACTCGAAGATATTGTTCTCGACAACGTTACCTACACCCTATGTAAGGTCTACGTCCGGGACGTGCGGACCATTGACGAATCACTGCTCAACAATGGCGTGGTGGACATTGCGCTCATCGATGCGCCTGGCCTCAACTCGGACACAACCAAAACCACAGCCGTTTTTGCGCGTCAGGAAGAGATTGACGTTGTTGTATTTGTTGTTTCAGCGGCCAACCATTTCACCATAACTGCCAAGGAATTCATCTGGGCAGCAGCTAAGGAAAAGGCCTATCTCTTCATGGTCGTCAACGGATTTGACGTCATCCGGGACAAGGCGAGGTGTGAGAAGACGATTCTCGATCAAGTTGACTTACTCAGCCCACAGACCGGAAAGGAAGCGTCGGAGCTCGTGCATTTTGTGTCAAGCAACGCTATCCCTACCGGTCCGCCTCCAGGCGGCCCTAGCGGTGGCGGCGGCGGCAGCGGCGGCGCAAGCGGCGGCGGCGGAGGTGATGATCCCAGCGATGACCCCAAGGGCAAGGGCAAGGACATGGAGAAACTTCGCAGTTTCGAACACCTTGAGCAGTCTCTGCGCAGGTTCGTCTTGGAAAAGCGCGCCAGGTCCAAGTTGGCGCCGGCCAAGACGTATCTGCTCAATATTCTCAACGACGTCAACACTCTAGCCAATGTGAATACCGACGTGGCACAAGGAGAGCTTGATCGAGTCACAGCTGAGCTGCGCGAGATTGAGCCTCAGCTTGAGACCAGCAGGAGAGCCAAGTCTGAGGTCGGCGACGAGATTGATCGGACCATCGAACAAACATGTAAAGAGGTTTATGACCACACCAGGAGCACTTTGAACTCCGCCATCGAGCACGCTGGCGACAACAACCATGGTGTCGAGTACCCTGGCATTTTTAGCGCCTTCGAGTATGCGGCAGAGCTCAAGCAGGCCATGATGGCTCACATTTCTGAGTCGGTTGCTCTGTGTGAGCAGCATGCCCGGGATCGGACGGTCGGCGGGGTCAACGCAATCAAGCAACTTGGCATCTTGCACGTCGGCGACGAGTTTCAAAACCTTACCTTCCGACCAGACGTCATGTTCAAGAGAAAACGCGACTCCATGGCCAGGCAGGTCGACGTACCTACCGAGCTATGGGACTTTGTTGACTGGCCTACACTGTTCCAACAGCAAGAAAAGGTCGCAGGAACTGGTATGGCTCTCACGCTGGCGGGTGCCCTTGTGCCGCGGGTCGTTGGACTGAATGGATGGATGGATCATGCTGTCAATGCTGCGAAACTCGTCAGCAATGACAATCTGCGTAGGCTCATCCTGCCGAGCCTCGTTGTCGCCGGTGAGTCTTGCCCACCCTCGTCCCCTTTTCGCCACATCGTGTTGCTAATATGTGTCCTAGCCATCTCTGCTGCAGCTTATATTGTCAACCAGATCCCTAATTCCCTCCCCCACCGCCTGTCGAACAAAATTTCGACACAGCTTCACGCCCTTGACTACGTCCACGACAACTCGACACGCATCTCGTCGTCTGTGCGCAAGGTGCTCCGTATCCCGGCCGACAATCTCCGCGTTGGCCTCGACCAAAGTGTCAAGGACCTTGGCATCCGCCGAGAGGAGACGCTCAAGGTCAAAAAGGAGAGCCAGGTGGCACTCAAGTACTTCGGCAACTTGGTCAGATCAAGCGCTGACCAGCGTGCCCAGCTCGAGGCTGTCGACCTCGAGGCACCGCCTCCCGGCGCTGTCGGGGGCTCTCAATAAATCAGCGGACCGTGCAATTTGTGAAGCAGAAAATAACGAAGGCATGGAAACGGCGTATGGAATTCCCCAAGGAAATGGCTCCTCTCAGTATTGTCCAGTATGCTCTTGTAAAGACGTTCTACATAGCTTTCTATCGCCCAAAGGCGTATTTTGAACTTTTGAACCTGCCGTTGTACGATCGAAGTGCGCGGCCTGACGAGAACCTGAACCCCTGGTGTGTACCCCTCCTTTGTACAGCCGCTTTGACCCCATTTAGCAACACTGCTCTCCGCACGTCTTCATCCCAACCCTGTTCAGCCATGTTAGTCGGCAGGACGCTACTGTCCTTGTGGACTGACAGCAAGCTTGGGCGATTTCATTTTCAAAGCTGGGATTCGTCAGCATTTTTTTTTCCCGGGAGAGTTCTGCATCATGGTGGGAACGAGCCGCGTCTCCCGCAGTCAGCGGTTCGGCTGCTGTTCTATTGAGCGAGGAGCAGTTTGAATCGCTGGCAAGGAGCGGATTGGACTTGCGTGGAGCCGCAGCAAGGCTCTCAAAGTCAAGGATAATGCCAAAGATAATGGAGAAACTTCTTTTCTGCAAGGTCCGAGCGCAATGGTCATGGCCATCCACGAGAAGGTTCACGCAGAAGCAATGGTGGTTCGTGTCAAAACCAGAATTGTTGAGACGGGTGGTTGTGACGCATGTCTCTTGCCAGCTTCTAGTTCAATATTTGAGACGTCCCAAGTACTGTACGCGCTGACGGCGAGGAGTACCGAATTTGCGGGAGCCGATCAAAATTGTTCTTGCCGTATCGCGGAGGGAAAAGCAACATGTCTCCCGCCTCCCCGTTGACACCAGCTTGGAAAACTGCAACCCGGAGTGGCATGTATCGTCAATCAAGCGCGGCTCGGCAATCTACTCACATTTCCCTCGAAACAAGGATTGCAGTATTGTCCTGAAGAAATGAGACGACCGTGTTTTGAGAAAATCTCCATATCCCCCGAGATCTGTTTGGGGTCCCGTCATTGAGGAGGGGATGCGAAATGGACAACTAATCTCGTGTTGACGCCTGGATGGGGGATTGTTTCATGCACCATGCGCCACGTGCCAAGGTGGTGCAAAGTCGTCGAAGAGAGCAAAGGTAGGCTGGCGATAACTCGACTGTTCCGTAAGCCTTCTTTTGACACTGAGGAAGCGAGAATGCAGACTTGGTATGGAAGTCTTCAAAGCACCAGCTGGACGCGCCTCGTACTGTAAGGCTCAAGCTGACGGCACACTAAACATGGACAGGTGCGCAAGAGAAGATGGTATGGGATGGATGGTGGCATGCATAACGAGAGAACCATGCATGGAGGCCCGAGCTCGCAGGGAGAGTGTTTGCCAATTACAGCACTAGTGCGAGTAGTCCACCCTTGAATCTTTGTCTTTCTCGCCAAGCACCGTCCTTGCCCCCTAAACTAGAGTGGAGGCCAGCCCGGCCCGCCGCTCTGGAGATTGGGAAGTGACATCCAATACCAATCCACCTGTCTGCCCAGTGCTTCATCTGTCGTGTTTCTGTCCGACGACCCTCATTTTTTTGGTCCATCGTGTACTGTCGATTTCCCCTCGATGTCCAGCAGACACCACAACGTCTGAATTCCATCACGAGAGCGCTCTATCACTCTTGCTCTGTTTCTTTGTCCAGCTGCCTTGCATCTCTCGTTTTTTTTTCTTGCTTAACAACGCTGCCGTACATTGCATCTGATGAGATCACCCCGATCCACCCCTAATCCCCCCAATTCCAGCCAGCGCCTCCAGTGCATTCCTCTTCGTTCGACATCCGCCGGCCATAACACCACTCGCTCACGTTGCTGATACACTCCGAAGCTTGCACCACAGAAAGCCTCTTTACTTGCAGAAGCTTCCGTCTCTGAAGTCCCTTCCCGAGCTTCTCGACCGCTTCCCATGCGCGTGGCCCCTCTCCTGTGCTCTGCGAACAGCCCTGGACCAAGCTTATGCTACGTGCCTGGCATCTTCCTCCCTCCGTACCGAGAACGTTAGCTCGAAGAGCAGATACTGGATCCCGCCTACCACTTGCCGACAACTAGCCGGTGGCAAGCCTCGGCTCACCAATCCTAGCAAGCATGTCGTTGAACGGGCTTGACGGAAGCCTGATCAAGGAGGCACACGAAGCTGCTGCGGCCGAGCCAGGAGGATGGTATGGTTCTCGTAATATCGACATGGTTGAAATCCCTGGCTAAGAAGTTTCATAGGTTCCTCCTCAAATATGCCAGTCGAGATGAAGTCGACGTCCTCAGTCGCGGCAACGGTGGCATAGTTGAGATGCGAAACAATATTGCCCAGTTTGAGGAAAACTCGCCCCTGTACGGCTTTCTACGATACCGCCGACGAAATGTCATCATCAAGTACTTGCCTGAAGACACCTCCCGGCTCATACAAGGTAGCTACGATGCCCCCCCCCTCCTTTCAAGGATCATAACTGAGGGTATTTTTGCAGCTCGAGTGACCGTCCACTTCAATGCTGTATGCGAGAGGTTCGCGCCTTACAATACTACCTTCTCGATCTCGACCGCCAAAGAACTAAAGGACACAAAGCTGTCGGCTGCTTGCTCTCTGCATGCTGCCTCGGGATCCATCTCGTCTTCTACAAGTTCTCTCAGACGGCGACGTTTAATGGAGATTGCTGAGGAGGAAGAGGAAGAACAAAGAGCCAGCAAGAGACAATCGGTGGTTCACGAGGATGACACGGGACTCAATGAGGATGATCCATCAGACGCGTCGACAACGCCCAAAACACCTGCGCCTGTGCCCCCTGTCACCTTGAACGCTGACCTGGCGTCGTCTCCCGAAGAAAGGGAATTCTCTCCGTCGTCTGAACCGCCAGATTTTGTCGGTGCTGCACGGCCAACGTCACCGACCGACGACAGTGAAAGGCGGATGTCGTCCCAAACGGCGCGCCCTGACTTATACAGCTATTCCTCCTACCCCTACGGAAAGCCCAAGGTCAAGCTCGGTCCACGGCCGTCGCTCGATGTCAGTGGCCGCCCCAAAACAGCAGGCACCTTTCGACCCGTTTCTCAAATGCCTGCAGGCTTCAAGTCCCGCTCCTACTCTAAAGACGGAAAGCGCAAGAACATGCCTGACAATAATGAACATGAACTTGTTGAGCACGACGACGAGCTTGCCGAAGTCGCAACTGCAGCATCAATCCCACTGCCCGAAACGTCACCAACGTTAACCCACGAACTGATGCGCCCACCTCCGAGTTCTGGCCGACCCGCGACAAGCTCTGGCGTCTCAATGAAGTCTCCCGTTCTGTCCACCTTCTCCGCTTCGGTCAAGCAGACCATGACACCCGAGAAGGCACGGCTTATGAAGGCCATGCAGATGCGTGAGAAGCGGAAACAACTGACCCTGCAGCCTACAGCGGTTCCCGTACCCGACAGCCCAGTGGAAGAAACTCGCCATGTCATCCATGAAGCGACCGCCGGCGAGACCCCGACAACACCTGAACAAGCGGAACATCAGCTGTCTACGGTTGTTCACGAATCCGGCCTCGCCGGCGACGCCTCAGCTATTTCCACGCAGACGGACCCATCCGAGTCAACGCGCAGTGACTCGCGGCCCACCTCTCCGCTCGTTACTTTTTCTGAACCTGAACAGTCGACCAAAGCCTCTTCGCTGTCCGAGTCCACTGATGAAACTGTTCGAGAATCTCGGGCCGGAAAGGAGGGGAATGAAGCCGACAGTATCCATTTGGGCGAAGCAGCTGATAATGACGTGGATAAGGCGAGCCCAGAAGTCGCCGGTGTTCCTTCGGCAGATGCAGTCGTCATTGTTACTGCGGACATTGCTACCGTACCGATAGAGATGACTCCCATGCCCAGCTCCCATTCGGGACCGTCGGAGGAGCAGAGCGCTCCAGAAAGTAGTCATGCTAAAGAAGTATCCGAAGATGCATCAATCGAACGAGACTCGGGAACGCCCCTGACGCCGCCCATCTCCAAGTTTTCAAGCCATGTCGCCGCGCCGCTTGCCAGGCTGACCTCACCTGAAGAATCCGAAGCGCCACCAAAAACCCCGACTTCCCCTCAATCACCGAGCCTTGCCATTCCAACGTCGCGCTTCTCCAGCCGCGAGCAAAGCAGCCCGAGATCGCCTGTACTCGAGGTCCCTACCATCGTACCCCCCTCTGACGATGTCCCTCCCGCGCACTCGTTATCGACAAAATCAGAGGCAGACGTTGAAGCGACTGCAGGGAAGAAACGCCACTCCAAGCGCAAGACCATCGAGCCCATCCGCACCGATCTCGACACACCAGAGGTTCGGTCTGAGTTTCATCTCTCCGATGACGAATCCTTGATGAACGAACTTCAGTCAGCTACGGTCGAACAAGCACAGCCCATGTCTGTCTCAAAATCGCCCATCACCCCGGTATTTCCCAGTCCACAGAGGCACGCGACCACCGCGGGCAACGTTAGTAGCACGAAGGGCAGTCCGCGCAGTGTTGTACGAACGACTTCAAATCCCGTGCGTGGAAATCTTCTCACCCCAACCGACGTTTCGCAGAGCTCGGCTCGATCTTTCTCGTCTGGCGCGGCCTATCTACACAAGATCACCCAGCAGCAGTTGGGCAACCAACATCTCGCCCCCAAGACCGGCAAAATGGGTTCCAAGATCTCGCAGCGTATCAAGGCTCTTGAGCAGCTTTCCGGCTCCTCTGCTAACAGCGAAGCTTTGTCCCGCATCAACGCGCCGTCGGCACAGTTCTTCTCCGTTCGTAAAAACAGCACGCGAGAGCCTTCTAGGTCTCCCTCTGTCGTTGATCGTGCCACCTCTCTGACCCGCCAGCAGAGGGGTAGTCCTCCCAGCACGGCCGTCTCAGAGTCACGGGACGCATCCCCAGAAATAAGGGTCCGACGTGAGAGGTCGACGTCTGTCGCCAGCAGGCTGTCCATGTTTGAAGGACCCATCATTCCATCGCCAGATTCGATGCCGCGTGGCCGTCCAGAGTCCATTTCCGTGACCGCACGCATTGTGCGAGACCCTAGCCAAGCTACTGCTTCGCTCGAAGCGCCGAAAGATCCGGCTGAGTTTAATCGTTTGGACTTCAAAATATCTCCCCTCGAGGTAAACCACCAGCGGGCCGAGTTGGTTTCCGCCTCCATTCCCCGCGAAACGATTCAGGAGAGGAGGGCATCGCGAGAGAAGCGCATGTCCCAGGCACAGGATGATGATGAGGACGAAACGCCGCGCCGTTCTTCCCTCAGCATCGTCAAAGACTTTATCAAGGAGCGCCGTAAGTCCTTGACCACTGCTACCAGCGACGGCCTTATGAGCGGGTCAACTCCGCTCAGCCCCGGGCGCTCACCCTCTTCGCGCCCACCGTCAACACACCACAACAGTGGGTTTCCACGTCGCTTGTCGATCAGCAGTCGACGCTCCTCCATCAGCAAAGACGCAGCCGCCGGTGCCATGTCGCCCTCCATGTTTACGGAAACGAGCGGATCTGGCGATGATAGCAAGTCAATGAGCAGCGACAAGAAAAAGAGTCGCGCTGGTAGGTTCATGCGCCGCCTGTCGTCGTCGCTCAGTGCCAGCCGCGGCAAGGTCCTTTCTCCCACAACGATCTCTCCCACCGTTCAAGAAGAAACTCTGGCCGACACGATGGCTGCACGTGGCGTCACTCGTGAGAACAGCCAGCAACAGTCCTCAGTCTTGGCCTACATCGGTGACGTGAACGTCCAGTTTCCCGACAATCTGCTCTGGAAACGCCGCACAATGTGCCTAGACTCTCAGGGATTTCTACTTCTTAGCGCCACAACAGCTCCTTCAATGCACAAGGGCAAGACTGGCGGCGTCGGTGTTAAGAGATACCACCTCAGTGACTTCCGCAACCCTTATACCCCAGATGTCGAGATTCAGGAGCTGCCGAACAGCGTGGTCCTTGACTTTATCGATGGATCGAGCCTACAGATCGCGTGTGAAGGTCGTGCGGGTCAGCTCAGCGTCCTGCACAGTAAGTCAAATTCTCTACCGAATCATATCGTGTACTGACATGCGCCAGCTCTCCAAGAAGCGCATCAAGCGCATGCCGCATTCGGTCAGTGATGACCTCGAATTCCTCTCCTTCGTGATACCTACATACCCTGCCCTATCGGCCTCTTTTCTTTGTCGACAAAAGCTTCACCAGCCCGAGATAACCCTTACGCCACTTGACGACTTTCCCCGCTTGGCAGGGCCGAGCGTGCCCTCTTGACACTCACGGCTGTACCACATTGGCCTTATGCCATCTTCTCCCTTTCTTCGCCTTCGTCCTTATTCACACCCATTTGGATTCCAGTTCGAACATGATACCAACACAGCACCGGGAGGGAAAGAAGTATCGTTCGTTGCACTGGATTGCATTGAAAGGAAGGCATTTGAAATTCTTGCCTTCCTTCGTTTCCGTCGTGTGACCTTAGATACAGGCCGTTCTCGTCACGGCTCTCAACGCCCGCAGACCGCGCTCTTTACTTGCATACGTATGTCTATGCACTTTTGTATTTTGCAGAGCTGTGGGGAACGGGGGTCAACATGTCGGATTTGTGAAAGTATATAGCGCCAATTGGCCTCGCGCCATCATTGACCAGCACTGTTACTGCACTTTGGGCCTATTGGTGAAAATGATGATCCAAGCCTTTGACATGCGTTAGGCCTCTCGGCAGAATACAAGAATCGGATGTACTGCCGTCTTGGCGCCCAGAGTTGAGACGCCGGCTTGGCTGTGGAGAGACCAATGGTCTCGATGAAAAGCCTGCACTCAAGCTTTTGCCAATGCTTGTCAGGGTCCCTCTTATCCGGGTCAGGATTCGGGCGATATCGATGCCAACGCCTGCAGTCAGGCAGACCAGCTGCAAGTGAATGAGAAAACACCAAATTTAAGCTTGTGTCCGGTACCGAAAAACAGGTCTTTTAGACAGGGGCCTGATGCGTGTTTATTTGCAACAGTCAGGTTTAAGGTAGTGGGCTAGCCGGACTAGGTCTGGGTCCAGGGTCATCGTACGGCATGACCAGTCCGGGGCTGATGTCATCAGGAGCGTTACCACAGCGTGGTGCCTCTGGGCGGCCAGGTACCTGAGGTAATTGGGCTGAAGACTGGAAAAAAAGTGCTGAGCGCCCGTTGAGATGCATCCCCCCCCGCCGGTTACGGAATGTTGCGGACAATACCTCAAGGAGCCAACTGGCGCCAAAGAGCATTCGCCAAAATGCCCTGTCGCGCGGCGCCTTGACCGTGATGAACATGAAAAGGCCAAGGGGCCTCAAGGAGCAGACCTCCTTGAAAGTACGTGGAACCTGTCTCCGCGTGCCTCGGAGGTACGACGCCAAAAACCCAAGGACCACCCTCGACGTTCAAGGCGCACGCCCGCACCCCCATGCACCTACCTACCCTGCACCGGGCCTTCCTCGTTTTCGCAATGTGTTCCCCGATTGACCCCACCACCGCCAGCGCTAGCCGGTGTCGCCGCGCCGTCATTTCACGAAGACTTGCTGCAAGCGACTTTTCTTCTCTTGTGCTTGTTTTGTTTCTCGTCACCACCCTTCAATGGCTCGTCGTCTCGATGCCCTGACTGAAAATTCCCGACAGTGCGCAACATACTGACCGCCGAGAGCACCGAACAGCAATTGGGGCTGTCTCTACCACTCTTATCGCGTCGACAACCCCACGAGAAGCAGCGTAGCCCACCTGCTATCTGAATGTCTGGATCTAGCAACCCGATTCCCACCCAGAATATCGATTGGGGTATCCTCTGCCTTCCCGTCCTGGGCTGCATCGTCACCAGCGCCGACGGTATCGCATGCTCCGGCTGAGCAACCACTCCGAAGAAGACTCGCACGAAGAAACCCGGGACCAATAAGCACGATGGCGTGGGACCACCTCTCGATCACCAGTGCCCACCTGGTATACATTATCCTTGGTGGCTTCACCTCGATATTCATGCTCTGCTCCTCTTTCATCAAGGAGCGTATGTACATTGGAGAAGCCACTGTTGCCACGCTTTGTGGCATCATCTTTGGACCACATGCCGCAAACTTGATCGACCCAAAGAGTTGGGGCAATGTCGACCTCATCACCCTCGAGTTCTCCCGAATCGTCCTCGTTGTCCAATGTTTCGCCGTCGGCGTAGAGCTGCCCAAGTTTTACATGGAAAAACACTGGAGGTCCGTCATCCTGCTCCTCCTTCCCGTCATGACATTTGGCTGGCTTGTCGTGAGCCTCTTTGTCTGGTGGGCTGTCCCGGCCATCAGCTGGCTTGACAGTCTGGTTGTCGCCGCCTGCGTCACCGCCACGGACCCCGTCCTCGCGTCATCGGTTGTCGGCAAGGGCAAGTTTGCCAAGCGAGTGCCAAAGCATCTTCGAGACTTGCTGTCTGCCGAGTCGGGCTGTAACGACGGCATGGCCTTTCCCTTTGTCTACCTCGGCATCTACCTGATCCAGGAGCACATGGACGCAAGGAAGACCACCTACCACTGGTTTGTGTATACAATCTTGTACGAGTGCATCTTTGGCGCCATCTTTGGATTCACCGTCGGTTACATTGCCAGGCACGCCATTCGAGTGGCTGAGAAGCGCGACCTCATCGATCGCGAGAGCTTCCTTGTCTTCTACTTTGTCCTCGCCCTCTTCTGCGCCGGTGCCGGCAGTATGTTAGGCATGGATGATTTGCTCGTAGGCTTCGCCGCCGGTGTCGGCTTTTCGAACGATGGCTGGTTCCACGCCAAGACGGAAGAGTCCCATGTCTCGAACGTTATCGATCTTTTGATCAACCTGGCGTATTTTGTCTTTCTCGGAACCATTATCCCTTGGGAGCAGTACAACAACATTGCCGGCGGACTCACCGCCTGGCGTCTGGTCGTTCTGGCGATTCTCGTCATCTTCTTTCGCCGCATCCCCATCATGCTTGCGCTCAAGCCTTTTATACCGGATATCAAGACGTGGCGAGAGGCTTTGTTTGCTGGCCACTTTGGCCCCATTGGTGTTGGCGCCATCTTCATCGCTATTCTCGCGCGTGCCGAGCTTGCCTACGAGACGGCTGTGCCACTGAGCGACACGCCTCCGACCGATATTCCACATTATACCGTGGTTGCCTTGATATGGCCCATTACGACGTTCCTCGTCATTACTTCCATCATTATTCACGGCTCTTCTATTGCCGTCTTTACCCTCGGCAAACGCATCAATACGCTGAGTCTGACAATGTCTTATACAACCTCCCCCGAAGACGGCCCGACGTGGATGAACCGCCTGCCTCGCATCTCCTCGCAGTCGAGGTCCCAGGCGCGCTCCGTCTCTGAGGAGGACGAACTCAAGATGCCCGATTTCCCGCCCGGCACTCTGCCCCCTGTCGGTGTCACCGGGCAGTTCTTGCGTCGGCAGAAGGAAGGCGAAAACGTCAAGCAGGGAAGTCGATCATCCTCTGCCCACCGCCGACGGAGAAAGTCGCGTGACTACGGCGTTGGACCTGGCGGACCCGTGTCGCAATCGGCCATCTTTCCTTCGACACGGCAGTCATCCATGGAGCCTAGCACCCACGGGAAGGACTCTACAACAGACAGCACTCCGCAGACGCTGGTCGAAGGCGACGCCGATCGGTACGATGAGAAGATGGAGCACCACCCAAGCCGCCAGGAATCACCCCAGGAGGAGGACGAGCAAATCAATATTTACGAAGAGGGCAGCCATATTGTGGTGGAAAACCGTGATGGCGACGTTCTCGCCCTGGAGCCCAGTAGCAGCAGGGGCAAGGCTGTATCCGATGATGCCGAGGCAGCAGCGAGGCCAGCACCAGCACAGAGGTCAGGGTCCATCGTTAACTGGACCAACTTCAAGCAGACCGTCAGCGGTGTCTACAGGGATGAGATGGAGAAGCGCAAAGTCAAGAGCGACCCGAAACACGCACCCGCCCGAGCGTACCAGTTTGGCAACACTGTGAGTAAACCTCTCTCCGTGCCGTATTCGTGACAACATGTTAACCATTCGCAGATTGTTATTGAAGACGAAGCCGGTGAGGTCATCAAGACGTACGAACTGCCCACGGACAAGCAAAAAGACGGACCCGACCTGCTTCAGCAATGCCAGAGATACCTTGGCCTCGGTGGGTCGTCCGACAAAGCCCCTGTGACGCCCGGGACGGAGGGCGAGCCGAGCGCACCGGCGGAGGGGCTCTTCAAGAAGGGCTGGCTTTTCGGAGGTACCAGCGGCAACAAGGCTGCTGCCCAAGAGCTTGCAGAAGACAAGCAGGTTCGTTTCACCATTGGCGGGGCTGGCAAGCGTATGACCAAGGACGACTTTATCAAGGAGATGCGTAAACTTGACCCCAAAACTCGCCACGACGTCGTCGAACAGTCATCGGCGCCACCCGCCGTCAAGACGTTGGCTAAGCAGACCGGCAACGCGTCTGGCTGGGACGAGAAGCAACCCGAGCGGCAGCGGCAGCAGCCGCAATTGCCTGAAGAAGCGGGTGAATCTTCCGGTGAGGCTAGTAGCAGCATCGGCAGCGAGAAGCGACGCGAAGCTGCCGCAACGGACGAGCCGCTCCGACCTGTCAAGATCTTGGATGACGCGGACGGCGAGCCGGAGACTCCGGCCGAGCGTAAACGCAGATTGGCAGCACTGGGAACAACTGCGGGCGACGATAGTGATGATGAAGGAGACCCACGTGTACCACCCGTCAAGAGGGGCATTCGATTTGCCGATGGCGCAGGCCAACGGCGAGGTGGAAGATGATCGAGTCGCAGTGGATCAGCATGGCGCATATCAAGAGCATCAGTATGAGCAGCAGCATCGCAAATAATTGGCCTGGCGTAGCACATATTGACAGTACTTTTTTATTAGGGTCTTATGCTTCGTGTGCATGACTTGACACGTTCAACCGTCCTATCGTGAATCATATGTCTAACCTTTGAGGATCAGTATCGCCTCTATATTAACTCTATATTGTAACTTGGGTGTGACATCTTCATAGCACGCCTTTCATGGCATCTATCGTCACCATTAGCATAGGTATACTGGGGCCTGGGATGGTGGTTCCCCCAATGTGCATGCTTGGTGGCCTTGAAGCCGCCGTGGGATGGCCTTGAATTCGTCGACGCACAACGTACGCACAACGTGTCGCCCGCAATGTATATCCTGTGGCCTGCCTCAATATGTGGAGCCGTAAGAAACGTTTCTTGGAACGCGTCTTTAGGCCTTAATAACGACTCCTACGAGACATCGTGGCCGAGCTCAAGTGTTCACCCGTTCGTGGGCGGTACGGCGCCCAAGAGAGTCCAAGTCATAGACGCTGGCCCAGGCGGAACATGGTCCCCCAGTATGTCCGTGATCTTGATGCTAGGTTGCCGTGGACGGTGCTGCGTATTATTTTCGGTACTGGTTATTGAAAGAATCTCAAATCCCTTCACCGCGTATGAAAGTGTACAAAATACAAGGTATCCTCAGATTTATCTCGCTTCGTCATCGAGAACTCCCGTGCATGCGTCGTCAGCTGAATACACGTATAATCTTGCTTCGGATCCAGAAATGGAGGCGTTATATCCTGTAGACATTACCCTGTGATTTTATAGCGAGAAATAGACGTCATCCGACCGTTTCTAAAACCGAAGTCGAAGAGAAGGGACTAGTGATCATGTCACTTATAGGTTGTTCAACACTGATGAGTAGCATTTGCTAGTTTATAGGGCTCGAACTAGATAGCTCGCTCTATTCAATGAATGTTTACAAGCACAACAGTTGTTTTGCTTCTTGTCTATACTTTGCGATTCGTCAGGAAGTCAAGCTGACGCATTACTCAAGCCAGGCACGACTTGAACATCCCAAACCTCGGCCCCCATATCGTATTGAGAACCCTTCAGTCGCGCTAGCAGCAAGAAACGTCCGACGTCCCGAAGATAGCGTTGGGCCCGTCTAAGTATTGTGGAGACCGCTCCTTGTTATTACTTGCATCTGGCATAGCCATCGTAACGGCCCCAGACTAAAAGTTCCGTGTTCCAGTTAAACGATCCAGTTAAACGATTCTAGCCTTGCGTGACGTACAACTCGTCTTGTCAGCGCGCGGGATACTGTAGATTTTGTCCTTTTTACGCAAATTCTTTTAAATCTTTGCAACTCGTATCGTCTCTTCCTGTCTGCAGCCTCTGATGAAAATGCATACCCGAGTATTGTCATCCCTGCTGCTCACTGCCGCCTCCTCCTCCAAGGGGGCGTCGATCGCGGGCCAGAGCACGACGGGACCTTCGCCTGACGACAGTGGATTCTCGAGGCGCATAGCCACTGGGGGTAAAGCCGGCTGTTGAATGGCTTCTCAGGTATATCGGCTGACATTCTCAACCAGCGGCTGTATCAGGCGATTACATCTATGTCGATGGCGGCCTTCTGGTAACCCAGAACGGAGCAGCGAACTCCAACGAGTCTAGTTTGCAACACCCTCCATTGCTAATATGCCCATATTCTGATAAGTAGCAGGTCCTTACATGCTACAAATTCCAACAAGCTCATCCTGGTCGAACGACTCACTATCATACAACCAACTATATTACACAGGATCACCGCGAAACAATTACCCAGACATTTTGACGACCTCGGACGGCGGGAAATTGATCTCTTGGGGTGGCGTCTCGACCAATGAACAAGCGAACAGCAGCAGCGAATACCTTTGGACCATGCAGCCGGCCTTGAGCGGCACATCATGGGGACTGGAACGCGAGGATACCACGTCTCGACGCACGACAGCCCAGCGTTCGGCCGGGTCGGGCGCTGTGGTGTGTGACAATACAGCCTTTTTCGTTGGAGGATGGGTCAATGTCGATACTGATCCGAGTGTCGATGTTCCTCGGGCTACGAAGATTCCGAAAGTAACCACATCAATGTATGACTTGGAGACCGGCACGTGGTCTACGTCAACGAATGGGTTCAACAAGAATGACACATACTATCACGGCAGCGCGACGTGCCTTGCCAACTATGCAGAGAGCGGTATCGTCATCGTACTTGGGGGCGAGACGGGTCAAACGTCCCGATACGAGGAAGGCGAAGGATATGTCGCCTTTGACCAGGCCCACATATACAGCATACACAAAGATGAGTGGCTCAAGCAGGACACAACGGGATCTCCGCCCTCGAACCGGAGCCACTTCTGTACCGTCTCTGCCAACGGTACGAACGGAACGACAGAAATGTACGTGTCGCTCCCATAGGTCAACACGGTGTCATTGACTAACACATTGATAGATTTGTCTACGGCGGATTCAATAGCCAACTGTCAGAGGCCTACGATGATCTGTACGTGCTGACTATTCCTGGGTTTCACTGGACCAAGGTCGATTATCCATCTTCTTCGCCCCGCGCAGACCACGCGTGCGTCCGGGCGGGTGGACGGCAAATGGTTGTGATCGGCGGTGCCAACCTCGGACTCGGCTCCCAGGAGGCTGTATTTGAGGATGTCGATCCATGGGCAAACGGACTTGGTGTCTTTGACCTGGTAAACCTGAGCTGGAGTCACATCTACTCCAGCGAGAACAATGATTATGACACGCCCACGTCCATCGCGGACTGGTATGCTGCAGGGTAAGCCGGGTTTATTCTTGGTGTTTGAAATTTGCTGAACGTCGACAGATCTATGACACAGATTGAGTGGTCTAGCGACGAAGTCAAGGAAATCTTTAGTGGTGCGGTTAACTTTGATGTGGTCTAAATATCGCTGACATGTCCAGGTCACTACACGAATGGCGGGAACGCCCCCCCAAGTAAGAAGTCCACAATCACCATAATCGCGAGCGTTGTCGGGGGCGTCACTGGCACAGTAGCTGCCCTGACGATCGTCATCGTTTGTGTCTGCATACGTCGGCGGAATCAGGAAATCAAGTCGGGGATTACCGTACATCGCTTCGCGGACACTGCTCCGTCCGAGACGGTAGACTGCCGAGAAGATGCGTTGATGAGCGAAGTGCAAGGCCATTCGGCCCCGTCATCGGCATACACTCCAGCATGGACGGCAACAAGTCAAGCATCCATGGAGCCAAGTCCGTTGACGCTGCATCGCGCACAGCATCCCATTGCCGAACTCAAAGCAGAAGAACCGCGGTGGGAGCTGGAGGCGCCCATTTACCCGGTCGAACTAGAATGCAATCCGCCAGGCCATCGGAAGTTCTCTTTCTAATACGGCTATGGAACCTTGAAACCCGGATTTGATATTTTCTTAACTTCTTCTAAACTACCCGAGCGCTCTTATGCCCTAACACTTTTTATGAAGCCAAATACGACCGCGTTTACTATATTATTGAAGTAGGCTTATTGTTTTCAAGGTCACCCTAAAGCGGTGTCCATCCGCGAGTGATTCCCTGATGGAGCACAGCACCTTGCGGCTCATTTCTTCCAGCCTTCTCAGCAGTGCTTCAAGGGATTATCTCGCAAGACCTTCTAGATATCCAAAGTAGGATGCGGACTCGTGATGAGTAACTTGAACGCAGTTGATCTTCACCTTAGCCATGAGCAGATCTACCAGCGACGATATAACGGTGTTCATGCCATCCCAGAAATGCTCATTTTCATACACGTTGATGTCGTCAATTATGTAAAAGACCTGGATATATGGAGGCAGCTACTGAACCAGTGAACAGAAAATTTCGCAAAGGGCAGTGGAAACCCAACATTCGATGTCTTCTCACGAGAGTTGAGGTGCCAGTCGAAACGTAGGGAAAGCAAATTTTCGAGGCATTTGCGTAATGAACGACTGAATCATGATTGCAGGCCCGTGATGCTCTGCCCAGATCAGATGTAGTCACATTGTCTTTTAAGCCAGCTGTCATCGGGCCTGAACATCGGCCCACGAAGACATGATGGATACACCATGCGAGTTTCATATTTGGCATGGGTTCTGTCTTCATCATTTCCATCGCTTTTGGGAACGTGTCTTGCCAAAAGTTCATTTTCCCGATAGTATGCTTAGGGTTCACCATCCTGGCGTCAGTAGCACCGAAGACAGAGTGTGAGCTAACGAGTCTGCATTCGGATCAGGTACGTGCCTTGCCACAAATCGATCGTCAGAGTGGTCATATCGGACCTGCTCGAAGTCAAAAGCAGGGTGAAGAACTCGGAAGCCTCTCTAACGA